CGATTTCCTCTGGGAAAGTGAGTGCCTGCCTTCGCACCGCCAGCAGTCTGGGGACCCAGAAGCAGCATCCCCAGGAGCAGAGCAGGGCAGCATGCCCCGCATGTCTCTTCAATGCCCGCAGGGTTTTCACCCCAGCACATCTCCCCTCCGGTGCCGACCTGTCTGCGAGCAAAAAACATGGAGCAAGCATGTGGATGAGGCGATTGCATCTTCCTGGATCCATTTGGAGCCATACCCTGTTCCCAAGCTCAATTCTTCAGGCTGTTTAAAAGGCTGTGGCTAGCTTGATGTGTGATGATGTTAAAAAAGCCGAGGAGCTCTATGAGCCGCAGAGGTAATGAAACCGACTTTCCAGTGGAGTTGTTTCTGTTGCTTGAGCAACTCTTTTAACTGAGCCGGAGAACGTAGTTCCCCTTCAGCTATTAGCATCTCCTTTAGTTACAACTAACTCCATTAGTTATAGAATGAGCCCCCTTCTCCCTTGCAGCCCTCCTCCCGCAGAGGGTTTGGTGCTAACACGCGTGGGGTGCTGTGCATCATTCAAAAGTTAGAGCTAAGAGCATCGGAAGTGGGTTGGGAAAGAACTGATTGCTTGAGCCTGGTCCCATACCTCTGCCAGCGGCTGCTTAATGAAAAGCAGAGAAATGAATTTATTTAGGAGGCCTCCATTCCTCTCTCATTTTTGGCTGTTTTAGAGTCATGGAGAGGGAAGGCAAAGCAAACAGACATGCACAGACTGGCTTGTTTTCGTAGAAACCCAGCTAGAAAATGTGCTTATAGAATCTTCAGGTACCGCACTGACCTTGAGCTCTTGCACTTCATTAATTTTGTGATTTTATCACCGCATTTTCCAATTAAAAGAAATTCTCTTCCCCCTTCCTGTGTAAAAATCCACGTCCTTCCCTCTCCCACCCCTCACCGATCCCCCCTTCCTTTCAACCCTCACAAGCCTTGGTGTGATAATGGGTAAGGAAACGCTTTCAGACAAAGGTCTGGCATTTTAATTTTGATAACCTCCCCGAGCAGCGAGGTTTGTGTGGGATGGAGATTAATGAAAGCAACGCACAATGTGCCCCTGTCACCAGGTAGAGTTAAGAAGCAGATAACCCTCGGGGAAGGAAATAGTTCAAAAGGGGAGTAAGTAATAACACGTTTTAATTTTTCATGCATCCCTACCCACTCTTTAATGGAAGGAGAACCCAAACTGCAAGGGAAGAGGAGATGAAAAGGAGCAGCAGCCTTTCTCTTTGGATGGGCACATACAGGAGAGGGAGCCTGGGGGGGCCCTGCCAGCAGCAATAATTGGGAATGAACCAGGGTGTGCTGTAGCAAGGGGATGCTTTTCTGCACGTTTTTATCACCTATCCTAAGGAGCCCAGTGCACTTCACAGCCCCATAATCCCCAAATCCACACCGTGCCCACTGTCATGGGTGGCTGAGGCAGAGGGGGAAGGAGAGATGAAGGTGGGGCAGAGCCCCGAGCATCCTTTGCATGGCTGGCAGGGCACCATGAGGTACCAGGGGTTATTAATCAGGGCCTAGAAACTGCCCAGGCAGGGCTGCTGGTGCTTGGCCACAGCTTGGCAACTCACCAACCCAGCAGGCAGAGATCCCCTGCTCCCTAGGGATGCCTTTGCTTGCATGTAGCATTCAGCTGGCAGCGATCACCTTGAGCCCCAGAGATGCTGAGATACCTGACAATTTTCCTCTCAGCTCCAGGGCTTGTCAGGAGGCATAATTGGGTCCTTCAGCTGAAAGCCCCTCTGAAGACTTGCACACCCAGAGCCTTCCCTGAGGCATGGAGGTATCCACCTCCTGCTATTCAGTGCTGCATTCCCCAGTGAAACCCACCCCAGGAGTCCATCCACGGCAAAGCACATCCCAGGTGTGTTTCCCCGCATAGGGCAGGGCTGGAGAGGCATGGGAAGGACTGCTCCTGCTTGTTGAGGATGGAGGATGAGATGTGTCTTGGCTGTAAACACAGCTACCCCAGCCCTCCATGCCTTCCTGCATCTTGCAGGTGGCCACCACCAAGTGATGGTGTAGACACAGCCAGGGAGATAAAGATTTAGTGCCTTCCTAGTGTTTTAACCACCAAGCCTGATCTCCTTCTTAATTTAGCTGCCCTTGCCCCTGTATTGTGATCACACTTGGATATACCTATAATACGGTTTATTACTTGGGTTACTGTTTAACTCTTTGAGTACAGCTGTCAGCCTTCACTGATCTCCAGCATCTCACCCACATTTTATTACAATGAGGAATTACTACAATGACCCAAGGAGTCACGGATAAGTAGCTCGCTCCTTGGCTTTTCACCCTGTGAAATAAGATTCTAAAGGCTGTTTCTGAAGTGTTTCCTGAGTGATAACAACGCTCTGTCAAATGGCTTGAGAACCTATTCCCAGTGCTTTCTGAATGAGTATGTAGCCCAAGAAAGCTGCTAGAATGAGAGGGGTGGAAAGCACGGAGGAGGCATGGTCAATGATTAAAAAACATGCAACTACATTACACATCCTACATAACACAAAAGCAAGACTACAATAAGAAGGGACAGCTTGAAGCCGTTTTAGCCATCATGATGCCTTCCTGTTGAGCTTTGCACGAGGAAGCTCCAAGAATATACTTGCAGAAGTGAAAGCAATGTGGCTAAACTGCAGTCCCTTGTTCACTGTGCTGCAGATCTGGGCTCCTGAGAGAGGAGACAGCACTTAGTGTTGGAGACCATCCCTAAGTACAGCACTGGAGGTGAATAAGAGCTATGGAACAGGTCAGGCAATTTGGGGATCAGTCCCTGTCACACTTGATTATGACATCCAGAAAGTCCGCACAGCATCCCACCTGTCAGCTTCTAAGCTTGTTGTCATCTTCTTAACAGCCCAACCCCATATACATTTGGTGACAGTCACCCTCGCCACTGCCCGCCCTCCTGGCTGGGTGACAAGTCTGCCCTTGAGTTCCCATTCCCCACCTCCCATCTCACTCTGGGTGCAGCTTGGGCAAGTCTCAACATCTCACACTGTGCTTTCTTACTTGTAACTGTAGGCACGCACTGACATCCCCCTCCTTTTCCTGTCTACTTGCTGCTCTGCTGACCTGGTGGGCTCGGTTTGCTAAAGCTGCGGCTGGGGTTGAGCAGTAACCACCTAACCGCAAAGCTCACACCGCTTGTTTATAGCCAGGAACATGGATAATCAAACCAGACAGAAATGGTTCCATTCTTGCCACGTTCTAATAAACAAAAGCAACACCTATGCCACTGACCCGTATTACATTTATGCTGGTTTGCTACAAGCTTTTTTCAGCATCAGAGATTCAGTGGCAGCACAAACACGCTGGTAAGGCTGCATCTCGTTTTGGTGATGCTGCCAGGCTCTGGGCTCCCCTCAGACATCCTGAAACTTCCCCTTATATCTCCAATATGACGTGCCATTAAAGGACTTGTCTCGCAGCAGCAGATGGTTTCCTGACTACAGGGTTTTGATGGAAGCCCTTTGGTTGTAGCCAGGTTTGGGGATTCACCTGCTCCGTAGCAACACAGGAGTTGGTAAAGGGTCTTGTGCCTAAGTACCCAAAAAAGTGTCTGCTGTGACTACTGGCTACTATGACTTGAACTCCATAAGCCAATCAACCTCCACCTTAGCTGTAGTAAATGATGTCCCTGCTTTTCCTTCCAAAAGCTGGCTTCACTCTTCTCATGAGTGGAAATCTGACTTGCAGCCTGAGTTTGCTCATAGGCAGGGTGTTCCTGTTGGTTTTTACTAGCATTGTCCATTGCCTTTCACAGTTCTTCTGCCTCCCTGATGCTTAGCTACTGGATGTTTTGACAGAAGGCAATGGATATTGATCCAGCTTTGTTTTGAACCCCTTTCCTGCTCCTCTTTTCACTCTCCTCTGAGTGTCTGCATGCAACATCTGCAGTGTCTCCATCCAACACCTGCTTCTCCCACTTCCCAACTTTCACCTTTGATCGGTGGAGAAGGGTGCCTGCAGCAGTCACTGAGGGCACAAGAAGACCTGTCTCTCTCCAAACCCTTGCCTGAAGGCAAAACAACAGCATAAAAACAGTTGAGGAAAGCCTGTCATCCTGGCCCTGCAGGTAACGGGATCATCAGGTGCTACTGGTTGGTGGCAGGTCCAGAACAGACCTTTCCTGCTTTAAACAGACCTGTCCTGTTTTATGCACTGCCTGGCAATCTGCTCAGTCAAAGCACTTCTCTGCACTGCAGCACAGCGATGCTGCTCAACGTTGACACGGACACCGAAAGCGATTCCACAGATTGAGACTGAGGGCTGTTAAAAACAAACCACCCATTTCCCCTACCAAAGTCCTCAGGCTCAAAACTCGCTGGAGGCGAGCTCCTCATGGGGCAGGAAGCCCCACCGCAGGCTGGCCCTGGTACCCAGTGCTCCCAGCCTGTGCGTCCGGGCTGGGCAGCCCCCGCTGGGGCTCGGGGAGCGGGGAGGAAGAACCAAGCGCAGAAGGAATGAAGGGAGCAACAGCCCTGCACATCCTCGCTGCCGACCCTCCTGTGCGGAGCCGCTCGGAGGCCGTTCCCATCGCCGGGGTCGGTAGGTGTCAGTGTTGGACCCCGCAACAGAAGCGCTGCCATTTCCCCCCCTCCTCCGCACACCGGGAGCGATAGCCCGGGGGGAACGGAGCGGTCGGTGCGAGCTGAGGCCAACCGGGGCCGTTTGCCTCACCGGGGGGAGGAGAGACCCGGCTCGGCAGCGGCATCTCCTCGTGCGGGTGATGCGGGGTTGGGTACCGTGCCCCGCGTTCCCGGTCTCGGTAGCGAATCTGTGGGTTTCAAACTCGGGATGTTTGCTCCATTTCGTATGTCCTCCTCAGGGAGAAAGGGGGCGATGTGGTCCGGATCTGGACATTGTCCCTGAACAGTCCACTCTGCACCTTCCACCTTCATCTGGCAAAGGAGCACTTCATCAATTCCTATCTGTGCGATGGCAAAGGAAAGGCTTACACATGGTACCAGATTTGAGGCGTGAATTAATGAGGAGATTGTACCCCCTCCCTCTCTGTACATCAAGGTGCCCCCAAACCTTGGAGGATTGCAATCGGTGATTGCAACACCCGTGGTCACAGATCAGTGGTTCAACCACTACACCTGGGGGCCGGTGGAAGGTAACTAAACCCAGCTAGCTGGTTGCCAGAGGCTTAATTGAATCCATCCATGCAGGTATCCACTAGAGAATATATAGGGCTCCCCAAAGCAGGAAGAGATTGAAAGGAGCTACCTCTGAGGTTTAACCCATACTGAAGATTGCGGCTTCTATTTAATTTTCTGTCAAGTCCCTACATTTGTCTAGAAACAGTTTGTCATATAAATATCCTTTTCTGCCCTCTGGGTGGAATTCAGAGAGTATTTGCTTATATGTACAACTGCTTCTCTGGAATGGGAAAATCAATGATGAGTACCACTGCCCTATTGCTGCACATGCTAGCCAAAAGCCAGCACTACTCCTATAGGAAAAGACGATGTTAGAAATGGTACCATACAAATAGATCCTTTTTTTGAGCCAGGCTGCAGCTTTAAGCCCTGGATGTACAAAATCTTGCTCTGTTAATGTTACGCACTGTGAGTTGCCTGATGTAAGTTCAGTAGGGCTGTTTGTACTGCATGAAGCTAAGCAGGCAGGGAAGGCTTTGAGGGACTTGGAGCTCACACAGCAAGAGATGGGTTATAACTATGCTCTCTCAAGGGCAGACAAGGGAACAACTAATAACTTTGCCTCTGAGATAAGGATCTGTCTGTCTAAGGATGTGCCTATGTGGTCTTCAGGGCTGACGGATATTCTCTGCTCAGACTCCAGGAGAGCTGAAGGGCAGCTACCTCTCAGCATCAGGGTACATGCATTAGCATGGCATTTGCTGCAGTGAATATATGCCGCCACGCAGCCATTTTATGCCTTTACTATGCCATGTGGATTTGCTTTGCTGTTGCCCAATAGACAACTCACAGGGAAAGTTTGTAAGGAAAAGGGCCAATATGAAATGACTCACATCTGACAATGAACATCTGACAATGTTCAGGCACTTTCTGGCAAGGAGGTTACATCCAAACTGTCATGTTTAATAATAACTGAATGTGAATGAACAAGTCTGAGTATTTTTGAACAAATATATACCATTGAGCTCAACATCCTGTGGCAGGGAGCTGTACAGTTTTTCTTGGTGGCACAAGTCATCCTTTAACTGTAGTCTCTTATTCCAGAGAGCTAATAATTCTTTGCTGTTTCTTCCCCGCAGCTCGCTGAGCCAGCTGGCATGAGACCAGAGGCAAGATTTTGCCTGTCTTCTATTCTACAAACCAATTGCCTCTGTGGCTGCTACCTGTCTTGCCTCGCATCTGCTCTGTGACTGACTGCACCAGTGGCCCTCTCGACCCATATGCCTCCATGCGAGTACGTAAACATCTTCGTCTTGGTAGATCGTGGCATGTGACAACACCAAACAAAATCTGAGCCAGGCCTAATAATAGTGTTGCTGTGGGGCATATCTCTGGGAATAGCAGGAATTGTTCTTTTAATGCTGCCAGATTTTAATGCATGTGATTGAATATTCCCATGTTCCTTCTTCCCTTTCTTAAGTGACAAAGTCTGCTGGCCTTTAGGAGAATCCACCCAATCGTTCCTTTACGGCTGTCACTGTTCAGATGGGAGCTTCTCTGCAACTCTGGTTGTACTGATTAGACTGGAGTGGAAGAAATCAACTTCTACAGCAGCCTGGAAGCAGCAAGGCACAAAACAGGACCCTCTGCTCTGCCCAGCCATTTAAATAGAGAGACTTGAAAGACAGGTCAAATGGCAATCTAACATTCCTTAGGCATTTTCTTACCCTTTTTTTGGTAGATTTTGCTGTTGTTCACTTTGATGCAGATGAACTCTGAAGATGTTAAGTGACCAAGGCTACCATTTTTGGTCAATATGAAGGGTGTTTATTTGTCTTCTCGATGAATGTGCATCAGTTCCATTATTAAAGAAAGGAGGTAGACCTGGCACTCATGGGGTACTCACGTTATATATAATTCTCTTATTACTGTTGGCCTTATACTCCAGCATTACAGGATCATAGCCAGTGTCATCCTTTTTTATTTAAATTTAATTTACACAAAATAATGTCCCTCTTGCTCCATTTCTTCCAATTCCCTGCTTTTGCCTCCCCTGCTCATTTTTCTTTATTGTTTCAAAGTTAGTCCCTTCACCAATGTCACTCGCTTCCACAGTCCCATATTTCACCTTTGCAAAACACAGCAAAAAGCCATCCATTTATTCTGCAACATCATTTGTGGCTATTTGTTGCAATTAAAAATAGGACTTTGCAAATTGAGTTGCACTGTCATTCAGCAGATGCCATTCAATGCTTATGCAGAGACAAGCAGCAGTTGTTGGTCTTTTCTGTTGTCTGATCTATTTTCATCTAGCATCACTGTTGCCTCCTCTGGTGTTGGACCCTTCTAGCACAAGTGCACATCACAGCATGCTTTTCTTTGTACCATTTTTACCCTTCATAGACACCACTTGCCTTTCTTCACCTGGCTCACAGTGGCTTCTGAGGCAAGTCTGTAACTCTAACGCTTGGGACTGTGGCATGTGGTTTTGCTTCTTGTAGGCCTGTGCTCAGAAGCCTGTCCAAATCTGGGTGGGAAGCAGTAAATGAATGGTGGGATGTGGAGCACTGCATTAAATCACACACACTCCAGTCAGAAGCTGGGACCAGCTGAAGCTGCCCTGCTGTTGTTGCCTGTTACTACAGACAAATAGTTTTATTAAAAGAGAAGTATTTCTGACTCTTTGTGGCCTTCCTTCCCACTCCATAGCTGCTCCCCTCTGCCCAGGGAGCAATGTCCAGCATGTGCCCTCAGGAAAAGGTACCACAGTAACACCTTCAGCAGGCTCTGGCCACTCCAAAGGCAAGGGCTTGTTCTCTGTCACTCTGAGCACACACAGCTAGAGGCAGAGGCTGCAGTAGCTTTAGGTGTCCTTGAACTCCTCTGGGTTGGTGAGCGTGCCAGGAGTTCACCCTTTGCCAGCCCATCAATGCACTGCAATGCTTTGGGTCCTCTGAAAATCTCATTGTACAAAAATTACAGGCTCCACAATAAACCTCCACGGCTTTCTGACAGCAACATCATTGGTGCCTGTTGCAAAACCAACACACACCCCAGCAGGTAACAGACAGAAATTCATACCCTGAAACTCAGGTAACGGGGCAGCCAAGCGTGGCTGTTGTTGGGTGTAGCAGAAGTTAGCGGAGAAGCTAGGCAGCTAATATATTAATGCATACATATATGGCTGATTATGTATTATTACTACAATTAAGGAATATTGCCAGTGGAATACAATGTTATGACAATGTAATGTTCTCTAAACTACCCTCTTGGCAGATATAAAAATAAATGGAAAATCTGGAGATAAAAAGGCCATGAATTGCACAGCAGATGAATCTGGCCCACCTTCCTCACTCATGTAAGACACTTGGCTCTGTGATGTGATGCTGGATCACTGCCTTGCACCACAACATCATCCGCCTGTGACAACCGTTTAATGCCCATCCATAGTCCCAGTCACTGTAACTTGGAGCATCACAGTGCAAAAAAGCAAGCCCTGGAGTATGGATTCTGCTGAGGTCAACATTGATGTTTCCTTTGTTTTCCTTGGGTTTTTTTTCTGTGCAAGATCTTTTGGCTCACTAAAGCAGGACTTAGAAGCAAAAGAGACACCTTAATGTGAGTTTTGCTGCTCCCTTACTGAACCACAATGTTTAAAAATACACCATGTGCATCCATCACTTGCTGAACTGGGGCTCAACTGTTAGGTTTAAATAACCAGGGCTCCAAAAGACATTTAGTATCAGGGTCACATGAAACTTTCATCATGTCCCAGAACAGCCCTTCAAGGGTCAAAGCTACTTGGCCAGGATGAGAAGAGCCACTCCTGGGAGCCAGAGCTGAGTCTGTAGCACTGATGAAAACGAGGCACAGCTGGACAAGGCTGCCTTTTTGATGTAGGTCTGTGCCCAGATGCTTGAGTGGATGACAGCTCCGGAGATGCTGCAGGGAAAGGCAAAAGGAAACAAAGAATAATTGCCTTGAGGTTTTCTAATCTCCTGCCCAACACTTCTCACCTGGGCTGAACCACTCATTGCTGGAAAAGCTCCATAGCAAAAAGCGATGCTGATTTACACCAGGCACAAATCTGGCTGTTAAAGTCTTTGTGTCCTAGAAATTGCCTTCTCTTTACTAGCTCAATTTACGCAGACAGGTGAGTGTATCAGGGTAGAGAGCCTCTGTAGGAGAGTAGCAATGAGCCCCTGCTGGCTTCTAACAGCAGCATTATGTTAATAGTTATTGAATGAGGTGAAAATAAGCTGAGGGGAAGCATGAAAGGAAAATTCAGGGGCAAGTGGCAGAGCTCAGTGAGCCGCATCAAGATGCTCTCAGAGCTAGAGAACATCTGCAGATCACACATACATTTTGCCAGCTTCAGAACTGCAGAGGAGTTTTGCAGTCTCCCTCCTGTCCCCTGCTCAGACATGCAGACAGACTTCCTTTAAGATAAAACCATCACAAAAGCTTCTGAGAAGCCCAGGACAAAAGACAATCTATCCCAAGGCCTTGCTTAGCTAGAGCTATGCTTTTTAGCAGCTTAACAATGATATAGTCTGGTTGACAATTATATTCTTTGCTTAAGGGAAACTCTTATGCTGTAAAGAAGCCTTACAAAAAGAAAAAAGCAGCAAGATCCAATTTTCAGGATCTCCAAGTGGCAAAAGGAAGTGCACAGATAAGATGCATCTTCCCGAATCTGCTTTCCTCCCTCCTCTTATTTGTTTTATCCTCGGTGTGTAATTTAGAAGTCTCTGATAGATGATAGCACAGCAAAGCTGCAAGAGAGCACTGCTACAGAAATCAATGGTGCATCTGCCGAGTGGTCAAAGTCAAGGCGATACCTGAAGTCGAGCAGTGGCTATGGCAGTGTGCACACAGACTCCTCAGGGAAAATGGGATGTGCAGAGAAATGAGTCAGACCTGCTGCCAAGAAAGGCAGCATCAGGCATACACTCCACTGCCGGCATGGCTGGCATTGCTTTGCTGACTGGCATAAGCTACAGATTACGGAGGCTTTTCCACCACTGTTCCTCCCACATTAGTCCTGGCCAGACCATAGCCTTCAACAGGTTTCCCAAGCCCAGGGAAGGAAATCCTTCTTTTACTCTCAGGCCAAAGGCTGGTCCAGAGCCTCCCAACCTATAGATCTTAAAACTACAAAGCAAACGTATTTCTAATCCAAATAATGTGCAAAATTAGGTATAAAACAGGAATTCTGTTCCGGTTTGTGTTTTAACCAGATAGCAAGGGGCTCCTCAGTGGACTAAACTGCTTCTCAGTGTGCAGCTGGGCTGACAACATTGGTACAATTAAGTTAAACAATTTCTCCTGTGGCATTTTAGGGCAAGCTTCCTTTAGAAGTTCTCTGGCTCTTTTTGCCTCCAAACTCCAGTCTCTGAGAAAACCTTGTGTCTTCCTTGGTGGCTCTGCAAATTCCTCTAAGATAATGTTAACCCTTTGCTCCATCAGTCTGTGCTTGCAGCAGCTCATCAGGATTTATGCTGTGGTCCTTTTCCACCTTTCCCATGACGCTCCCCTAAGTCCGATTGGTACATGAGTACAGGAAAAGAATCACTTCTTGTTGGACAGTAACTTCACCCCACTGATCATGTCACAGTTCTCCTGTTACTATTACACACTGGTATGTCCATGTTAAATACATACCAGCACCCCTTCTGTTTCAGCTCAAAATCATTCCAGGAAGATGTGGACTTCCATGACGGCCCTGGATGGCAGGAGGGGAGGCAGGCACGGGGTGTGCACACAACACACGGCTCAAGGTGTTTTCCTGCTTGGAGTTTCTTGCCTTTAAGCACAACCTCAATTGGTCTGAGAAGCTGCTTCACTTAACTGGTTAAGCGGAGGTGGAAGAAGAGAGTCAGCCACTTCATCTTATGTCTCTTAAACAGCCCTTTTCACTCATCTTCTCTGGATGGCAGACCTGAAAGTATGGCAATGAAATCCTCTGTTCTGACTCACAGACTATCCTGTTGGCTTTGAATAGAAAGTTATATCCACCCCTTCCCCAAAGGGAACGCAGCAACCCCTCCTGGAGGTGTCCCTTGTGCTAACAGGGCAAGGAGAGAAGGCTGTCATGCTGTGAGGAGCAAGACCAGCTCTGGGTACAGCCAGTGGACATTCTGCTGCTCCTAGCAGAGCTATGGTCAGGCCATAACCCACAGGAGGGTCCATGCTCTGGAAAGCTGTCTCAACAGTGGTGGTGCTCGCTCTGGGGAAAGCTTGAAGCATACTCTGAGAACTGGATCTGCCTTTTCTTGAACAGCCTCCAAAGACACCACTAAACACCAAGACCTTGCTGATATAGTCTGGGTTGGACCCAGTTCGTACAGTCTCTTGGTACAGGAACAAGTTTGCCAAATCAGACACCAGCCGTCATGCATTATAATCACTGAAGTCTACCTAGACATCAGAGCATTTTTCTATTACTGACAACCAGTTTCCCTTCCTCTTTTCTCTCTCTGCAATTAGCTAGGAACAATCAGTCTTCCTGATGGCCCTTTAAAAATGGAAGAGATCAGATAGATTCACACTGTTGGAAAAACTGCATGTCCTTAACAAAAATGAAAGGTTGTGACGCTGCTGTAGAGCTTGCAGTCAACTGGTACGAGAGCAGGCTGTTTTAAAGGACTTTAATTGCAGCTGCCTATTAGCAATGCATAAGGAATCCTGGGGAGATGGGACTGGAAGTGGGCCAGAAACAGAGGAGAAAGATGCTAAGCAAAAGCGTTTTCACTCCTCACCTGTGAGAAACAGGCTGACATCAATAATGTCAAGATTTCTAACAGTCAGGTAGAGTGTTTTTAAAGTGTTTTTAAACCATTCCCATCTCCAGGATTAGGGTGGTCTGCTTTTAACAGGTAGGGTGCAATGAAAGGGTTTTAAATAGCCCAGGAAAGCATTTAAGTACACACAAAACTACGTGGATCTTTCATGAAGCTACGCTGGACTCCACGGGGCACATAGGCACAGTTTAGTGGTACGGAGACTCAAGATGCTGCCGAAAAGTTGTTAATATATTAACTATGGAAAAGCTACCTAATTCTGCTTCCTAAACCAGAACCGTTACCTCTGTGTGAGATGCCTGTATGCTGTGTAGACAGACAGAGACAGCATTTCCTCTGTGCATTTATTCTGTTTGATTACTTCCCCCCATGTTTTTTCTAGTGGTCTAGTTTTATGGTCACGCTTGAGGCACATGGCAGCACTGAGACTGCCCATGCTGTTTGACAGGCTTTATGGAAGGTTTTGGGGAAGCTGCACCAGGATATAATACACCATAGAGTGTGCTGTTTACTGGGAACTGCTGAAGAACTGCCTTATGAAATGGGGGTAGGCAATAGGCGTCATTACAAGGACATGATTGCAAACATTCAAAATCTGGCTAGGTGAAACCAGTTATTTAACAAAGCCAGTGTTGGGAAGATAGCCATGGGAACCAGACATTTTCCTGGATCCCATATTGTATGTCAATGGCAAGAACAACAAAAGGAGGCTGTTGTAGCC